TAATGTAGCAGCCTTGTTAGCAATTATCCAGTACAAAGTTATCCTTTGGCTGTGGAAGGAATTAATTTTTGAGCATCCTCTCTATGTTGCCTCTGGCTCTTCCAGCTCACACATATGGTGTCTTTGTGATGTTGGACGAGAGGACTGGTATCTCATTCTGGCAGGGGAAAAACAAATGGTAGCTTATGCCAATACAAGGTTGACTTCTTTTCAAACACCGTTTTAGATAAATTCCTCTCCCACCTTGTCCTAGAGCTGTGTTGGCTCTTTTTTTTTTGCACGAGACGACAGAGAGAGAGAGAGAAGTGGACTATTGTAGGTGATGCTTTTTTGTGCAAGGAATCTATTATTGTTGTTTATATAATGCCTTCAAGGTTCATGGTAGTCTAAAGAGTTTTTTTAAAAGATAGGATGGGGAAATATTTGGACAATAGGAGTCATATCCAAATAAAGAGAACAAAAATGAACATCCATTGTCAACTTATGTTTGTTTTGCCAGCAAGGTAAAAACAAAAAACCAACAATAAAAAAAATATATTTCAACAGGATACCAGCTAGGTTGGCTGTCGCATCATTGGAGAAAGGAGTAAAAGGTGTGCAGAGAACCTGAACAAACTTATTTTAGTCTGTTCTCACACAATAGATAAGAGAAGCATAGAAAGCTGCCTTATACCGAGTAAGACCATTGGTCAACTTAGCTCAGCACTGTCAACACTAATGGGCAGTGGCTTTTCAGGGTTTCAGACAGGAGACATTTCTAGACCTACCTGGAGATGATGGGGATTGAACGAGAGACCTTCTGTATGTACAGCAGTTGTTCCACCACTGAACTGCTTTATGCATTGCATGGAGAAAAAAGATAGAAAAGGGTTTTTTTCTTCTCCTCTGTGTATTGTGCTGCTGGAACTTTGGGTCATTCAATGAAACTGATTGGACAGGAGATTCCGAATAAACAAGAGAAAATGCTTCTTTATATCACAGATACACAATACTCCTTGTTAATGAGCCCCAGCTTGACTTTTTAAGGAGTTAAGACAGATTTATGAAGCTTAAGTCTATTAGCAGCTACCAGTTTTGCTGGCAATATGTAATCATAGCTCTTTCCAACTCTACAATTCTATGGTTCTCTGGAACAGAAGCTTTCTGTTCCCTTCCCATTTTGGTTCCAACTGACATTCTCAGCAAGAGATTTCAGCAAGTGTTACTGAGCAGCAAAAGAAATGTGAATACAATAAAAATAAAGATGGAAACCCTAAATGTAGTGATATTAGGATTTGGTGGTGGTTGTTTAATAAAGGCCATGTTAAAAATCCTTAGCTGGTTTTCAGCTGTGGCGTTGAATTAAAAAGCAGCTTTTCAAATGACTTGCTGGATAAATTGAGCAAGCCTCAATTCCAAGTATGTTTGTTTGGAAGCAAGTCCCATTGAATTCAATGAGAGTTGGTTCCCTAATAAGTTTGTTTAGGATTGCAATCTGCAGAATATTTGGATTTCTTGCTTCCTAAACATTTGCACGATTGCTGCTTTCTGCAGCTCTGTTAGAAATAAGGTCAAGGTTTTGCTCCGGGAGTCATCAGTCAAGTAGAAGTGTCCCTGGGCACCCAGGGACTGATATCCCATGCAGTATAAGGGCATCCTTTTGTTAGCAGGCACCAGAATTGCAGTCATGTTCTTTCCATTGGTTGGTTTTCAGAACCTGATTTATTTTGTGGCTGCTGAGTGGCCTACCCACAGTGCCTCTCAAACTGGAAGCTTGTCAGAGCGAAGGGGGATGATGGAAAGAGATGTTTAAAAAATGCACGAAGGTAACTCCTAGTCAGTTCGGCCAGATTGGATGGAGGACTGAGGCAAAATCCTGTATACACTTATTTTGGAGTAAACCCTGCTGAATGCAGTGGGACTTAGTAAATAGTTGTGAAGACTCTTTTTAAAAAATGAGATCACTGTCATAATTGTGCTCCCTCCGTCAATTTTTCAAATGTTCGCCGACATTCTTTTAATTCTGTTCTATTCAAGTGCAGAATTAAGGTTAAGGATACAGAATTTGGCACCCTGCAAACTGATTTTTTAAAATTAAAAACAACAACAAAATTTCTGGCTTTTACAGATATGAAAATGGGCTTGAAATGTATGTCATTTAAAAAAAAAAATATTTCATTGAGTCATCAGAATACTTTACAATACAGCAAAACAAAGGATCAAGGGGCAACTTGCCATTATAGATCCATGATGCATGGTTAACTATTACTTCAGACCATAAAAAGGTTCGATCAAGAAAATGGGAGTATTTTCATAGAATCAGAGAGGACTAATAGTAGTGAGTATGCTCATGTAATCAGTGCTAAATTTACATTGCATGGATAACCTTGGGACTGGATTTCTTAATCACATTGTGTTTGGAAGCTCTCAAACATGCACTTCAGTATTACCTGGAAATGAGATTTAAATAAACTTTATTTAACAATGTAAAAAAATCTTTTAAAAAATCTAAAAACAGTGCAACGGAAATGCCATTTACCTTCCCGCCTGAGCGGTACCTATCTATCTACTTGCACTTTGACGTGCTTTCGAACTGCTAGGTTGGCAGGAGCATGGACCAAGCAATGGGAGCTCACCCCATCGTGGGGATTCGAACCGCCAACCTTCTGATCGGCAAGTCCTAGGCTCTGTGGTTTAACCACAGCGCCACCGCATCCCTTAAAACAGCCTTAGTGGTTAAGAAATCTACGTATGACTTTTAAGCATTGCCAAAACAGAGAATGATTACCCCATTGCTCTGTGGCAGGCAACAGGGGCCTCCTTCATCTTTTCTGGTGCTCCTTCCCTTCCTCTTCCAGTAACAACATACAGGCAACCACATGGCAATCTTGGGGACACCTGCCTAGTTCGAATTCTCTTCACAGCTCTGGGGGCTAAAGTGGAGAGTTCATGCTCTGTTGTTGTTGTTGCTGCTGCTGCTGTTGTCAATTTTAACAGGCTGAGCCAGACCCTTCTTGTCTTCTTGAAGAGAAGCCTTGTCTGACCTTTAGTGTTCTCAAGGGAAATGGGGCTCTTTTAGCCAGCTTGATTCTTATTTATGGCTTGTCTATCTTGGCAGGATCAAGAGCCAATATATTCTTTTCAGAGCCAGAACATACACAGCAAACAATGCCTGGAAACATATTTTAAATCCTCCAAATGCCAGCATGAAACGAGGTCTTGGGTGGAGGTCACCCACATCACCTGCCACCTGATTAGGAAGAGGCCAAAGACGACTGACAGAGCACAGACTTTTTCACCTCTGAGACCATTATTTATCATAATTATCCGGCTTTTCAAAAATTTAACACTTCTTGAGATGCTATGCTTGGAAAAGGTCCCCAGCATCTTCAAGATAGGCCTGGAGAGGTCCCTGCCTGAAACTCTGGGGAGCCACTATGAGTCCGCCTTGCCAAACTGGGCTTGACAAAACCAATGGTCTGACTTGGTCCTGTGATCCTTTGAGCCATATCCGCCTGAGGTGTTCCGACTCTGAACTCTGGTCCCCCTCGACATGCATAAGCTCTACTGATGAGCCACACTTCTTCCCAACCTTACATGAGGATGAAGTTTTATATAAAAGCTACAGTTTTACAATTAGCATGTGAACCCTTCCAGGGTTTGTTTTTTTTTTTAATTTGCTCACAGAGATATCCCCTGAATAGCTCTGAAATGACCCCTTGGAGTGTGGTCCATGTGTTCAGTATCCTGATAATTACAATTCAAAGGTCTGTGTGTTCATTCATTCCATTTTAATTCCAGTTTCCCTGCCCCGGCTTGTGGATCTGGACTGGAGGGTAGATATCAAGACCTCCTCGGACAGTATCAGCAGAATGGCTGTCCCTACCTGCCTGCTGCAGCTGAAGGTATTGTTTCTTGAGAGCCATTCATGACCCACCATGCTCGGCACAGTCCCACCTATCAGCAGTGTACCAGAGGCTGAGAAATTATCTTAGCTTTACAGCTTGTCTGGGGTTGTGAAGCCACTGAAAAGCCACAGCACAATCAGAGGAGAGTTGCAAATTGTGAGCATCTGTGATGACACATGATTGCCTGTGACTGTTTTTTCACCCCTGGCCTCTAGACAGTTTCCCACAGCTTCTGAAGCTCTACTTGTACAATGGCTTACTCACACTATTAACAGGTCACACTATATCACCAAGACTTTAGTGTAAAGTCCCATTTATTGCAGTGGTGAAAATCCCATAAACTAGGTTGGATCCACACTAAGTGGGCTAGATCCATACTAAGTGTGGCTCCAGTCCACTGTCTTGATAGAGTCTTAATTGATGGAGTGGTGATTGTTCAGTGATGGGGACTTTGCATCTACTGCAAAGCAGAAGTGCCAGCTTTTTGTGCATACCTTGTTTTATGCAAGAACAGCAAACCTGCATTCAGACATAGCTGGAAGGTATGTTGAGTCAGCTAACCCAGAAGAGGGAAAGCATTGGGTTGGTCTCTGGTTAGGACTTCTGTGACTTCTTTTTTTGAAAGGTGACTAGATAAACTGGAATTCAAGAATGTTAAGAAGATAAAGCAGATGTAGCCAAGTCCTGCAGATGCTGTAGGAATCCAACTCCCATTAGCCCTTGCCAGCAGAGCCTAGTGGTCAGGTCTGGTGGGAGTTGTAGTCCAACAATATTGGAGAGGACATCTTGTTGAATAGCCCTGCTTTAGAATTTATGGCTTGTCCACCGAACCATCCTTCCTGGCTGGGTTTGGTAGAAGCTGCACATTGGAAAAGGCATTTTGTGTTCCTTAAGGATAGGGAAATATCCCTATTCTCTGTCAGTAGAAATATTAATCTGCCAGAAGAGAAGGAGGGCTGGGATTAAACCAAGAAGGTGGTTTTGATGGTGATTTCAAGCTCTGGGATCTTTTTTCTTTTTCAGATTCAGGAAGATGCTGCCTTGTGCGGGAATGACTTCACAACCTCAGCATTGACAGTAGAGTTGAATAAGCAAACATTGGACACTATGTTAGATGGCCTGGGAAGGATACGGGACCAGCTTTCTGCCGTTGCAAATAAATAAAGCCTTCTGGCTAAAGGATTCCAACAGTTTTTCGCATGTGGAAGATAACTCTCCTGTCTTGCCAACCTGGCTGTGACATTTTACCAACAGCCAATCTTTGGGTTTCTCTTCCTCCTCATAACCAAACATCATTCTTATTTTTTTACTTTTCAATGAAATGGCATGGGGTTTTTTCCCTTCAGAAGCAAAGACTTCAACACTTTCTTGCTCCGATGCCTGACATAAGCTCATAATGACAATCAGAACCTCCTCTTGTACATATTCCTAGAGAGGCTCATAACTCAGCTTGTAGCAGGAGCAAAGAGCAGCCAATGAAGCGGACTGTGTCTTCTGCCTCTGAAATGGGGGACTAAGAAGCATGAATATGGCTAATAGGCTGGCTTGCAGCCTCAGCGCACTCTTGAAAGGTGTTTGCTGAGAAGTGTGGGATGTTGGTCTTTTCCTCCTCACTGAGGCACAGCTTTAGAAACAACGTCCAGGCTGCAGTGCGTTCTCTTACGCGGCAGAAATACCTTGTGTGTGAACTTTTCAGTTCCAAGTTTAAACTGCTGGAATGAATTCAGTAGCAAGTAGCACCAATGATGATGGAGGAAAGAAAGTTTTGTCGCTTCATATTGGCATTAACAGGAGGCTCTGATAGATTTGGATGTACTGAGAAAGGTTGCTAATGGCAACTGGTTCCTGTAGCAACAAAGTCACTGCACACATTTATGAATTATTAAGCGTTTCATTTAAAATACAACGATTGTGCTATATGGATTTATGTTTGCTTTAAATAAAACAAACAAACAAAACAGGGCCTTTTCCTTGTTTTTCTTCTGGTGATTAAGTTTAGCATTTTCCTTTGGTACTTTGAAGTGTGCTGTTGTGGATTTCTTATTCTTCTTTCTTCTTTCCCTTTCAACCCATGGGTTACATCTTTAAAGTTCATGATATACCGAGATCTCCTTTTCTTTCTTCTGTAAGCTGTGTTTAACTGACCCTTTAACCACCCCTTTACTGCTACATGAACAGCATTGAACTAGGTAATCATAGAGTTGTAGAACATAAAAACCTCCAAGGAAGGAGAGTCCACCACCTCCTGAGGGAGGAGTCTATTGCAGCTTTTGCTGATTGCTTTTTGCCCAACTCAAAGGTGTCCTCTCATCTTTCTTGCTTGATGTGACAGAGAATGGAAAGGGCTGTGTGCACACACATCTGCACATGCATGTAGACAACTGGCTTTTGAATGGCTGGAATGTAGCTTACTGCCTTTATCCTGTATTTTTATCTTGTGAGCTGCCCTGAAATCTTTGGATGAAGGGCAGTATATAAATTTAATAAATAAACAATAATGTAAAAGGAAGAGCCACAACTATTGCTCCACCCACTTTTGTCTCTGGCCCCACCCACTGTTGGAGCTTGGCCCCCAGAAAGTTACTCATGAGGAAATGTGGGGCTTGTGCCAAAAAATGTTTCTGCACCCTTGGCCTAAAAGCAAGCAGGTGTCTTGTCTCCACTCCTTTAAACAAAGACATGAAGTTTTGTTTCCTTCACCTGAAATACATTCATTCATTTTTTATTTTGGCATTCAGTATGTTAATTCTACGCTATTAATTACACAGTTTTCCCTGCATCCTTCCCTCTTTGTGGACAGTTTTGTACATAAAATGGCTGGCTGATTTATTTTCTGCAAAGCCTTGTGTGGCTGGAATTGCTCGAGCGTTATTGAATAGCTGTCGCCCACTCAATGTAACTTGATTAAGGTTTAATAATTCAGCTGCCGATGGGCTCGCTGCTTTCCAGCAGCCACAGTGCAGATACCCACCGTCAGGCTGGCAGGCTCGGCTCCTTCCCAAGCAGGGCTCTCTCTCTCTCCGCTTCCCATGCTATCTGTATCCCACGGCAATTTTTGAGGCGGTTAATCGCACTAATACATTGTGTTTATATGGCATCCATTCAACAACTATTAAGCCCGCCGTACAAATGGGGGAAGCCGAACTGCAGGAGCTGCGAAGTGCTTTATCAGAGCCTCTGTTCCTGTAACTCAGCGGCAGCATCGCAGAGGCAGAATTGGGAAGCGCAGATCAGAAAAGTTACATGCCTTGGAAGGCTACAGTTGCTGGGTCCCACAGGTAGGGAGAGGGTTGTTGCACTTGGATGCCGTTTGTGAACTGTGCACGGTTGGCCACTGAGAACAGGATGCTGGACTAGGTGGGCCTTGGGCCAGATGCAGCAGGACTCTTCATATGTACAGCGCCAGCTCTAACCCAAGAGACATGCACTCAGGAAGGGAGCTCTGCACTCTTCCTTGGCATGCCCATGGCAGTTTGCGCCAGGGTATAGTTTTCCGCCAAAGACCTGCCGACAAATGTTCCAGTAAGGAGAAGAGAGCATCTGTAAGGGGCTTGTGGCTCTTCCCAGTCCCTCTTAGTGCCTTCTGTTCCCCTGCTGATACCCCATGGATATCCCTCCTTTTGTTTGTTGGCTCTGCACTCCTATTTATGTAGACTCCCTTCTTTCTTTTGTTCTTTTTGGTTTTTTTCTAATTTACTTTTACAATAATAATCTCAATAAAATAAAATAATAAATAAGCAAGCAAGCAAGCATGGGAAAAAGTGACCCCATTAATACTTTTTTTTTTTGGACAAGTAATAATAATAAATAAATAAGAATAAAAATATGCACCCTACCACCAAGACCATTCCATTGTAACTATCCAATCTCCCAAAATTTCAACACCTCTTGTGATGGTTTGACCCCTTTCCATTTTAATAGTACAAATTCTGCAATCACCTTTCATATCTCCTCAAAATTATTTCTCCTCCATATTCCCCATCTTACCTTAATGGCACATGTTAATTTATCATTAATAGCTATATCCCACACCTCTTTTTACAATTCTTCCATTTAATATTCTGCTTGCATCTTCCACTTTCTAGCTATAATTATTTGTGCAGCTGTCAATGAATTTGTGAGCAAGTCCTTTATAGCCTGCGAACCTTCCACGCCATCGCAAATTGATAATAATGCCATCTCCAGACTAGACTCCTTTTCAAGGGAACTTCATAGTGTGTTCAGAGTGCTCTGTGATGTGTTCCTGTGCAGCACCTCACAAATGAGATCATAGTGATGCCATGCTTGCAAATAGTCATGGAAGTGATAGAGCCCCCTTGTCCTCCCACTGCAGAACAGTTGGCTGACGTCCACTCATTTCTTTAAGAGGTTGCTGGCACTTGGAAAAGGAAGCTCCATGCATGAAACTTTTATGGCACTGCACTGTGCTTAAGCCATCTTCGTATGCATCGATGCACATCAGCCAATAATATTATGAGGAGCAAGCTGCATGTGTGTGATGAAGTTTGGACTTGGCTTTAATGAAATGGCGACTTGAGAGGCTGTCATCTTACATGGAGGTATTGGCTGGCAGGGGGCGGGGGAAGAGAAAGGTGGCACATAATCATTTCTGCTTTGATTGGTTTCTTTTTCTGTCCCCAACCCTACCCCAAACACTGCTTTTTCCCTCTTAGGAAATAAGCGGCTGAGGGGCATTTTTGAGGAGGCAAAGTTCTCTTGAATGCTCCTGTGCTCATGAGTGCTGCTGTTTGAGGCTGTTTTTCATTCTTCTTTTTAAGAAAAGCGTTCTTTCCCCGCTCCCAGCCATTACGTTTGCTACTGACCTGAGGTAAATTGCAACAAGAAGTGTCCGTTGCTGCTGTCTTGACATGCCACTTTTTCCTCCTCAAAAGATGTGTGTGTTGGTTTCGTAGTGCTGCCTTGTGTTCATGCAGCACTGTGTTGGCTCAAGTGTTTTTCTTACAGCCTTCAAATTATCAGCTTTAGAAGCTCTTAAAGGATTGTTTGGGCAGCAGCTGCCAGAGAGTGCAAGAGCTGTCATCCAGGCAGGTGTGCAGGTGTGATGACATGGACTGACCTGGGAGCAATTACTACTTTTTAAGAAATGCAAATATAGCAAACTTGAACAGATATTTATGTATTTTTTAATCCAGCAATTCACAGGCCAATGTTTTTAAGTCCCTTTATAGGAAATTTGCTTAATTGTTATAGGCATTTGTTTAAAAGTTTCCCATTGAAATGAACAGGAATGAAACATTTAAGGCAGCAGTCCTAAACATGGTTACAAGGGAGTAAGGCCCACTGAGCATGGATCGGATTGCACTGCCTCTGCCACCAGCTGTCATGGTGAGGTAGTAGAATACCTCCTTCTGTATGCAAAAGAGCCTTCCTCCAATGTTGCAGGGAGCGTTGAGTAGGATCTCTGAAACCCAATCAGCATATAGAATACTGAGCTAGATGGACCAGTGGTCTGATTTGGTATAAGGCAGCGTCATATCTTCCCACTTACGAAGGTCCCCTCACTGCTCCAATGTTCAGTCAATGAGACTTTGGTGAGTCTCAGTGGGGAGCGAAATGCAAAATGAAGAAACGACGACAACAGGTGCAACTAGATGTTAATGTGGGCAGTCTGTGGTTAGGATTTCCTGCATGCTCTAAGATGTGACTAGCAGCTGCCACAGGAGAAGCTGTTGGAATGGCTTGGGGCTGTGGTGTTGTGGGGAAGGGTGTTTTCCCATTTGAAGCTGCCCTCCCCCTGCACTTCCCACTGATGTTTGCAGCATAAGGTGAAAATGCAAAGGTATCAGTTGTTGGAGGAGTAAAACTATGGGAGAGCTATTCCCTTCATGTGCCATTTTTTACTTACCTAGAATCAGCTGTTTTTTTAGCCATTGTGCAGGATGCTAGACAAGATTCATCTTTGGCCAGACCCACAAGGCCTTTTCCCATGTCTTAATCACAGATCTCTTGTGCCCCATCTAATTTTGGCCCAAAGTCAGGATGAGTTCAAACCACACAATGACCTTAATGCCCTCTTAGAGGGTTACTTTCCTGTTCCCTGATCTTGTCCCCCAATGAAATATGTTTGGAAGGAGGCATTTCTCATATTCTTCTGCCGAGCCATCAAGTAAGATAGTACTTCTGTGAAAATGTCCGGTGTTCCCATTTACAAATGGGCAATTTGTTTCTGAATGTTATGGATCAATGTCAGAGTCGGCCCACAGATTTGGCTGATCTATGCTTCTGATCTCATTCTGTGCTTCAACTGTATCTTACTCAAAATCTTCCAGGAGAGAATGAGTGAACTGGATAGTGGAAGATGGGGACGGAAGAGGCCACAGCAGTTTTGCAAAGCCCCTTTGTGCCTTGCGTATTTCCCCCAGAAGATGGCACCCCTGGACTCTTGATTTTAACTGCATAATCTCATGGAAGCAGCAGAGCTGACAGTGTGTCTGTAGGGTGAAGTGAGGATATAGGAAGTTGCCCTACACAGAGCTAAGCCAAGCATCTTCCTAATCCTGTATTGTCAACACTCACTGGCAATGGCTGTCTGGAGTTTGGCAAGTGTGTTTCCCAGCCCTACCTAAAGATTTTGGGACTGAATTGGAACCCTTTTGCAGCAAAGCACTTCCCCTACCAGGTGCCTCTCCATCTTTTGAATTGTGAAAGAAGGAGGAAAACAGAACTTATTTGCTGCTTAAGAAAAAGGCCTTTCACCTGAGATGCAGAAAGCGTTTGCGGTAGGTGTGGGAGCACACACTTTCAATGTCCTTTTGAAAGGAAAAGGAGACAGATCAAGTGCGCATCTTCCTATTTATGCCCCATCTCAATGCAGACACTGCGAGGACTGTCCTGTTTAGCAACAGCCATTTTAAAAAGTTTATTATTGAGCACATAATATATAGTTTTAAAACGGAAACTAGCATAAATACAGAAGTAAGAGCACAAATCATTTTCCATCT